CACACTGCGGGCAGAGCTGGCAACGGAGTGTCTGGTTCCCCGCACATCTCTCACAGTCCTGACTCTCTGGCTCCCGAGGCAGTCTGCTCCTGGGTGGCTGGACGGCTGCCACTGTGTGCACAGCTGTCCCCTCTGCTGAGGGCTCCTCCAGGGGGCAAGAACCAGGGCCTCGGGGTGGAGGGTCCCCAGAAGCACACTTAGATAAGCACGGGAAAATTCTTATCATTCTGAGTCTGGCTGATGAGCGAGTCAATGGGTCCTGTCACCGGACATGCCAAGAGGATCTCTGTGATCCTCTAGCAGAGGTGTGCAGAAAGGATTCTGGGAGAATCCATCACAGTTTTGAGACCCCCACTGTTGAGCACAGCCTGCCTCTCTAGCCCAGAACACTGATTCCCTCAATCCTGTGATCCCTTGACTGTTACCAGGGCACCACCTAGGTTCAGTCGTGGCCCAGGCACCAGGACAAGTGGTAGTTTGGTCAAGTGGGGTTTGGGGGTGTTGAAACTGATGCGTGGGCTTTGGCTGAAGTGGGGCCACAAAGCTGGATCTGACCCCATGGTCAGTTGCCACATCCAGATGCTCCCCTGTTCTGAAGTTGGGTTATCCTGGGGGCCCCAGGTCTTGTGCGTGGGATCCTGGTCTCATTTCTATTAGTGGGAACAGGAGGGGACCTCAGTAGGGAGAGGGGAGAACCAGTACCTATAACTTACATTTGCTTGGACACAGCCACTCACACCCACACCCCCCCCCCCACACTCCATCTGCCGTCAGCACAATCTAGAGGATGTCCTTGAACCCACCCAAACCCTACTTGCAGCAAATCTGAATGTGGGACAGTCACATCAGTGGCCAGGAGGCCAAAGCCAAGATCAGCCAAAGCAAGCTGCGTCCCTGTGGGCACAGGCTGGGCCAGCGGTGTCATCTCAGGACCGAGCGCAGGAAGCCAGCCAGGGGCCGCCAAGAAATAGTTCTGAGGTTGACAGTAAGTGCTGGCCTCTGGCCTCCGGCCTCCAGCCAGGGCTCACACAGGCGCAGGGTGGAGCACACGCCCCCAGCCACTCAGGGCCCAGGGGAGCAGGCCTATCTCTTACCCCTCTGAGGTCCTCATTGTAATAACTTGCCTGACCGCAGGCCCCTGGGCAACAGGGGAAGGACTCGGCCCAGCCTATTCCTAAACACAGAGGATGAAGACCTCCTATTGTATATTCAATAACAACACATGTATTCAAGCAAAAAAAAAAAAAAATCCAGAGGAATGACCACACCAATTTTGGGTGGTGGATTATGAGTGATTTTTATCTTTTGGCTGCTTTTCTGAATATCTAAATTTCTCTGCAATGAAGATATTACAGTATCATGGTTACAGTCTGAAAAGCTTAGCTTAAACATTCATATAGAATTACAGCCTCGTGGCAGTCACTCTGCAATCAAATCAACTTTGCTTACGCGTCAAGTTCTCGTGTTTACTGTTCTTCCTTTACGCTTTTCCCCATCTCTATTTTTACTGGCCTGCCTTCGAGGCCTAAGAGGCCGGCCGTCTGCCCTGCAGGCTCTCCGAGTGTGTGGGCTGAGCACTGTCATGAGCACAGCCAGCCACCCCAGCAGCACGGGAGCAGCGCGGCGGGCCACCCCATGCACCCCCTGCACCCTGCAGGCCCAGCCTCCCGCTCACAGGCCAGCCCCCTCTGCCTGCCTTCTCGGTGAGCGGCCCCCTCCCCAAGGAGAACGTGGCACAGTGCAGTTGGCTCACGGCAAATGATGGAGCGTTACTTGTGCATCAGGCTCTGTGCTCTGAGTGGGAGTCAGAGCCACAGCCCACGCGTCCCTTTAGAACAGGGTCCCCCAAGCAGCTGGCGGTGGGGTCACAGGCCAACCGGAGTAGTGATGGCCGCCAGCCCTTCCGGTGGCTGTAGCAACTGGCTCCTTTGTGAAGCAGGGGTTTACCGCCTGAGGGGCAATAAACAACTAACACTATTATGTCAATAACAGCATTATGTTATGCTTGATTATGCACAGTTTTATGATGTTATATAGAATGCATGTATGTGCATATTTATAAATTACTTTTATAAATCTTTTTTTAAAAAAAGATTATTTATTTTTGTATACAGAACTGCAGTACAGGGCAGAGGTGTGGTGGGTGAGAGCTTCACCAGAGACCGAGTGGGGAGCTGAACAGGCAGATTTATTGAAACACACTGCTGAGAGGAACAGTGGGCGAGACAGGAGAGGTCTGCTGCACCATGTGGGTCAGCTGCCTGGTTGGGGCTCGAACTCATACTGCAGTGGCTGCGGACAGCTTCATTGTATTGTGTTTTAACCTGTTGCGCCACCAGGGAGGGCCCTACTGTAATCATTTTAATCATATCTAACGTATATAATGTGCTATAACATCTATTATAATTATATAACATTATATAGAATATGAGTGTATAACATAAATTATAATTCTTTTAACAACTCTTAGCATTATATCATGTAACATTATTATACTGTTCTATATCATCATTATGTAAGGTTCTTTATCTGTATGTGCATATATGCAGACCATTAAAATACTATGATTATTTTAACAAGCAAACACGGTCCTAATAGGAACTAACATTTATTGAGGACGGAGCATATGCTGGGCTTGGTCTAAGTGCTTTTACTGACGTCATCTCATTTACCCCCCATTTAGGCCCTGTACTGTGGGTTCCATCACAGACCCCAATTTGCAAGTGAAAAAACAGTGACCCAGGAAGGTAAGCATTTACGCCAAGGTTGCAGGACATAAATGAGGGTCCTGCTTGGAGCAGGAAGGTCTGACTGCAGAACTACACTCAGACATCCTGCTGAGATGACAGCCCTCTGCAGTCAGGGCAGGCCAGGGGACGTCAGGGGACGTTCCAGAGCAATGGGGAAACCTGTAGGCAGTGTGAGTCCAGTCTCGGGGAGCAAGGGAAGGCTCCCCAGAAAGGCAAAAGCCTGAACTGGAGCTGAAGAAGAGCAGGAAGGGCCGCTCCAGCGGTGGCCGTAGGAGTGAGAGAAGTTCTGGGGGAGAGAAGAGCGACTGGGACTCCAGACGGCCAGGCAGCTCAGTGACTCGTGTTCCAGGAAGTTGCAGGGCTTGCGCTGCCTCTGATACCGCCGTCAGTTTGCTGCAGAGATCAGGCACAGGGCAAACTGTTTCATCTTGGAAGGATCAAGATACCAGACAGCCCCAATGCTGGGGGGAGAGGCGGGGCGGGGGTGCGCAGGAGGCCTGTCGCCACCTCGCGCTTCCGCAGCATCCTGGCGTGGGTGCGCTGGCCGCGCTCCCTGCACGGCGCCTGAGAGCCGTGGCTGTGCAGTTCTTCCTGCCTCTGGACGCCTGTCCGCCAGGCTGTCAGCTCCCCAGGGAGCGGGGCACTGTCCCCAGAGAGCCTGTGGGTGCTCACACAGCCCTAGGCACAGAGGTGAGTCTACGCTTTGAAGAGCAGGTTGTCCTCTTTGTTGTCGCTTCCGCCCCCTCGTCAAGGAATTTTATGACCTAAATACGACTTGTTGAAAGCCAAGACTTCGGTGTGAACCCTTCCCTCCGGGTTTACAGGGAGCTACAGACAGAGAGGGCCGAGCTAACTAATTCGTGGTTCTCAACACGCCCAGTAAAATGACACAGGAGGAACGAATTCCATGAAGACGGCGTGGGCGCAGAGCGTGCGTGAGCGTGCCCGAGCGTGCCCAGGTGCGTGACACCGGGTTGTGCGTGTGGGCACCCAGCACCACAGATTACACTCCCTTACAAATATTTGCATCAGATCTGGATGTAGCTTCTCATAGTCCATTTTTCTCCTCTTTAGGCCTTCTGAAGGATTCATGCACTAAAAAACTAAATTATGTCTTGGTAGCTAAACAAATTATGCAAAATTATACGCCATGAATATTTTATCATTCTAAACCCTGAAGCCAGACTCCAGACAGTTTTATGTCTGCAGCAACCTGTAACAGACCCAGATGAATTCATCTAAAGACAAATGACTTCTTTCAGGGACTTAACTTTTTCCCTGGTACATTTCTCTTAAAGGTTGTCTCAAAGCTTCCATTGTATATAGGTTATGGGAGTCAACACACCCCTTCCTCTTAACTGCTTAAAACAACATAACTTAGCTCAATAATTGTGCACAAAATTGATGAAAATTCCAAATGTCCACCTCCGTCAGGTGGAGCAGATATAAAATAAATAAACAGCTGCCAGCTGTCCCAAGTTCAACTGTGTGCAAAAGCCCCTTTTGCCTTAGAACGTCGTGCTTGCCTAGAAAATACATTTTTCCGAATAATGAGGTTTGTGCACTCAGGAATAGAGAGTTGCCCTGTGTGTGACCTCGGTGTTAAGATCAGAACTGCTGGTTCGCTCCCTTTGGCTTTTTCCTCCTCCTTCTTTCTCAATTACCTTTGCTAGTTTTGATCCTCCACTTCAGGTTTTAAAAGAAAGAGCTACCCTACGAAGATTCAGCGCTGTGTTCTCCAAGAGGCCAGCAGAAGAAAATGAGGCAAGTGTAAGTTAATACGGCCCCACCGGCCCCTCTCCTTGGCTCCCAGGAAGCAGAGTCTTGCAGGTTAATGCTTCCAATTGAGCAACTTCAAAATGGCCGTAAGACAGCGTCGCTCCGAGGGGGACCTGCCTCTGGCCTCTGTCTGCTGCTGTTCTGTGGGCTCCGTGAGGGACTGAATAGCAGGGAGGTGGGCGCGTGACTCTGCTCAGGATGGACGGCTGGATTGGATGGTGGCGGTGATGTGTGTGGGTGGGGGGGTGTTGTGGAGGGGCTGGGGGTGGGGAGGGCTAGGAGGGTGGGAGGACAGGGCAGCAGAATTTTGGAACACTGCATCTTTTTTATTTTCTAAATGTCTGTTAGTCTTACAATTTCACTTCTGCAAAAAAAAAAAAAAAACAAATAAAATCTCTTTTAAAATCCTGCTGACTCATGGCAGCACAATGGAAGTCATAAGCGTCTTTTCTGTCTAATCAGCAGGCTGCTTGAAGAGATAGCGTTCCCATCTTCCTTCCCAGAAAAGAGCGAAGGCAAAAAGCAGAGGAACAAAAGAGCCTCATGACTCAGAGGCCAGGGGCAGATCCCTGATCACCAGACTCTGGGCTTGAGCCTCACACGCATCCAGGCTTCCCTTGAGGTTCGAATGCACTTTTATGGGGGTGTCATCACCCCTCTCCTCTAAGGCCAACCCAAAGCTGAAAATGGGAGGGAGGAAGGGCCCCGGAAGCAGCAATGTCCCCGGAAAGAGCTAAGGGGCCCAGGATGTGGGAGCAATTGGGAGCTGCCACTGATTAGCCCAGGGACCTTTAACCAGTCACTCAAGCCTGCTCTGGTTCCAGAGCTTTTATCTTTAAAATAGCTGTGAATTCTACTCACTTCCCTGGGTTGTCAGAAGGTTGAAATGAAATAATTGCTTGAAAGCCCTGAATATAGTATCCATAGCACAGAAAATGGTCAGTAGCTGAGTGGGCTCTTGGGGAGGGCCCCCATTTCTTGAAGATTCAGCCCCACTCATAGTGCCTGAAGAGCCCATAAACTCTTCTCAGCAACTTTCCTCTCTCTTCACAAAATGGCTACAAAATCATTTCATAGACGTTTTTATACTCCAAAATGAATGTCTAATACATGTTCCCTTAACTAGAGGGCTTGTATTTTTTTCTGGGAGTCAAAATTATTTCTAGCTTTGTGATTTAATTAAAAAAAATTATTTATGCACACAGAACTGGGGTACAGGCCAGAGGTGCAGGGGCAGTGAGAGGACTCACCAGAGACAGAGTGAGGAGCAGAACAGGCAGACTGACGAAGTACACTGCTGAGGGGAGCAGCGGGCGGATCAGGAGAGGTCTGCTGCACCATGTGGTCACCTCCGGGGTGGGCGGAGATCGAACTCATGCGGAAGTGGCTTTAGCTTCTCAGTGCTGTGCTCTAACCTGCTGCGCCACCAGGGAGGGCCCAGCTGTGTGACTTTAGGCCTTAGGAAGCTAACAGAGGAGAGAGACATAGTGCCTTTATTTGTTTTGTTTGTTTGTTTTCCAGGATGGGTAACAAGGATTCTTCAGTGAGCTCTTAAAATTATGCAAGTAAGTGTCTCTTTAAATTTCAGCCTCCAAATTTAACTAGCAGTTTATAGAAAATGCAGAGGACAGAAGAACAAGATGAATGACACTAAGGGAATGTAACCAGCAAAATCCAGCCTGAGGACCTCGATGGGCAAGTTACATATACATATGCAAATACTATATATACGTGTATATATATGTATGTACGTGTACACACACACACACATTACCTGCAAGGAAGAGAGGGAAATGTCGGGAGAACCGATAGATAAAAAATGTAAAAATAGGCCCTCTCTGGTGGCACAGTGGGTCAAAGCGCAGCACTATGAAGCTATTGCAGCCGCTGCAGCACAAGTTCAATCCCCAGCCAGGGGAGGGGGGTGACCCACATGGTGGGCAGACCTCTCCTGACCCGCTCGCTGCTCCCCTCAGCAGTGTACTTCCTCAGTCTGCCTGTTCTGCTTCCCACTCTGTCTCTGGTGAATCCTCTCACCCCCTGCACCTCTGGCCTGTACCCCAGCTCTGAATGCATAAATAAATTTTAAAAATATAAAAACACATATTTAGCCCACCACAAGTTGTGGGCCTTAATTGGATCCTGCCTGAAATAAATTGTAAAAATAAAGATTATGACATCTATGAGAAAACTGGAAAGCTAAATACTAATTTAGTAGCATTTAATAGCTAATTTAATAGCATCAGGAGTATCTGATGATTTGAAGATCATTGTTAATTTTATTAAGTGGAATAAAAGTAATCATTGCTTACTCAGCAGCAGGTTAAAGCGCAGACTGAGAAGCTGTGTTTTGATACACATACTGAAATAGTTACCCACAAACCGGTCTTTGCTGGAATGCTCTCCCAAGTGGCAAGGGGGCATTATCGCGCATCTTTTTTCTTTCCTTCAAAAAGAAGAAAATGGGTCTGTGGGGGCGGTTTTATTACCTGGGATGCTTTAAATGTTGGGCCGGCTGTAAGCAGCGTGGAGCGGTGTGACTGCGGAGCGTCTCCGCGGAGCAGCCCGCGAGGCAGCCGGCTCTCCGCTCAGCATTTAGTTCCCAGATTTACCCACATCAACGGTCATAATTCCAGGGCGCTCATTTCCACGCTGCTGAATTGTTTTCTATTATCTGAATGTTCCACAATTTATTGATCCATTTCTCCTGTGATAGATATTTAGGTCATTTTCTATTTTTCTCTTCTACAGGCAGGAGTGGAGCTGAGTTTCCCTGTGTGCAGCAGCCAGTCTTTCTCCAGGCCTCACTTCACGCTGTGACCCCACCCCCTCCTCCCCGCCAAGTTGGCAGTGAGACCCTGTCGGAACCGGCCAGAGCCCAGGGTGAAGTACTTGCTCTCTGCCTCCCTGGACCTGGGCACAGGCAGAGCCCAGCAATTCCCTAATGAATCTCCCCCTCCCCCCGCTTCGTCCAACGTGTCCTGGTCCTATCTTCCTTTAAGAATGAGGTATTGGGGGGGCAGGGAACGGGAGGGGGTTAGTTATCTGAGAAATTGCCCTGTCTAGACTCTACTGCTACCTCCCAGAGTTCTTGGCAGTATCCAAAAAGGGTCAGTGCTCACAGAGCACAGTTAAATATAGACATCTAGGAATAAAAGGCCTAATTAAGAACCAGGAAGTTACTCTTGGGAAATTAAAAAAGTTTGCCAAGGCATCATTAGCAATGCCAACGCCTAATTTGGCAGGGCAGTGCTGATGCGAGCCCCAGGTCGAGGGGGGAAGCAGATTTATCCCCCGAATCACTAGCGTTTGCAGGAGGTGCCTCTGTGTTTCCCTGCAAGTGACACTTGCTTGGGCAGGCAGGGACAGCCCTGCCAGGGACAGTCGGAACACTGGTCGGTGCCAACCGGGTCTCTCCCGTGAACACTGGTGACCTTAGCCGCTCTTTAGATGTGTGAGCAAAGTTTTGCTCGTCCATGATACACCCACCAGTGGTCAGGAGTCCTCCCTGGTCAGAGCGGCTGCTCATTTCTCTAAACCCCTACATTGCTGGTATGAAGACTGTGAGATCCTGCAAAACCTTTTGGGTTCAAGATGCATTTCTGAGCCTGCAGACTGGAACATGGACGGACCTGCGTCTTTATTGGTTCCTAATGACCTTGCTAGACTTTATTTACAGGATTCGATGCACACTTCATGTTAATCTACATGCTATGTGGCCACGTTTCAGTAGATTCTCAGGGGTTAGAAATGAGGTTTATTCTTCCTACAAACATAAATGAGAAGCTTTACAAGTTCACCCTCCACCCTGGTACAAAATACACACTTTTATCTACCCCGCAGCAGCCAGCGGAGGCCAATCAGCAGCAGCGACCTGGTTCTGACCGTCTCAGGCAAGGCACGTTCTGACCTCACCTGTAAAAGGGGGTTGTCCGCCTCCTAGGGCTCCCGGGCAGATCAATGGAGATAATGTACTGGAAAGCACTTTGAAAAATACAAAGTGTGATTCAAATGGATTATTGACAGCCCGTTGTTAAGTGTTGGTTTGATTGCTGAATGTCCTTGAATGCGATGAAGCATCATTTCTTATAAACCATTTTATAACTCAAACCTTTTCACTAATTCTGAATGACCTTCGTTCTAATCAGTTTGGCTCCCGGGGTTTTATGCCAAGGCCCAGGAAGCAGGTGCATGAAAGCTTGTCGAGCCGAGGACGGGGCTTTCAAGAGTGTCCAGTCACACTCCCTGCCCTGCCCCCCAACCAGGATCTCCTCTGCAGCCCCTCAGATATCCCAGCCCGCCTGCTTGGAAATGGGTGGAGAGCAGATTCCCAGCCACCCCTCCTACTGAAGAGCGGGTACACTGAGAACCCCAGAGCCCAGAGTCACATTCCCCAATCCTTTGGCTCCACGTTGCTATCCAGAGCAGAACCTGGCAAACTCGACCCTGGCGGGGACCAATCCTCCCAGTGCCTGTTGCTGATGTTTGTGAGCTAAGGACGTCTTTTCTATCTTCACATCGCTGGGGGAAACAACTTAAATAGTATTTTATAAAATGAAAATTACGGGAAATTCACACTAAGCATCCACAGCCTCACTGAAGCACAGCCACGCCCACCGCCTCGTCCTCTGTGGCTGACTTGACTTCTCCGGAGCGATGAGGAGAAACGAGTGGTTGCCGACAGCCCGGCAGCCTGCAGTCACTGGCCCTCTCCGGGAGGAGCCTGCAGGCCTGTCTAGAGCCATGCTGGCAGTCTCAGCAGCTCATTAGATGTGCAAGAGCTATGCTTGTCCATGACCCACCCAAATACGCATTTCTAAGGTCTGTTAAGGTGCAGGTGCTGAGCTGGGCAACACGCACGCTCAGTACAAAGAACCAGATCGGGTCCCTCCCCGGTGGCACAACGGGTAAGCGCAGCGCTGCCAGCCAGCTGCAGCCACTTCAGTCTGAGTTCGATCCCCAACCCGGAGGTGACCCACAGGGTGCGGCAGACCTCTCCGGACCGCCCGCTGCTCCCCTCAGCAGTGTACTTGGTCAGTTGGCCTGTTCTGCTCCCCGCTCTGTCTCTGGTGAATCCTCTCACCGCCCCTGCACCTCGGGCCTGTACCCCAGTTCTGTATGCACAAATAAATAAATCTTAAAAAACAAAACAAAAAAACACCAGATCGTAAATTCTCTCATCACTCTTCCCCCCCAAAGTAAGAATTATAAAAACAAAGAAAACCCCACAACAATTTAGAGGATGGTAGGGAGCATTTCAGAGAGATTTCCGAGAAGGAGTTCGAATTTGCACTTTAAGAATAAGAGACGTTTGAGAGAGTTACAGAATTAAGAGTTTTCTTTTTTAGCAAGAAAATCTCCCATTTAGAGCTGTGGAGTCAGGAAAATTCAGGAAGTGCTCAGTGAACCCCAACAATTATTTAGCCCACACTCAGTGTTGACTATGTGGCTGGCAAGATCCAGGTACCCAGATATCCAGGCTTCCAGGCACATTAGTGGTCCCCACTCTGGTGACTAAGTGCCCAGAGCAACAGGTTCATGACGAAGAAGAGCCCCAGGTAGAGACAGCAGAGCCAGGCTCCCACCCAAGGGAGCCCCCCAGTTCTGCTTGCTCCAGAGCCCTGAAATGCACCCCCAGAAATGTAGTCTCTGTCCCCGTACCCCCCAGTCATTGCTACAAACTCTGGCCTTGGGCATTTAGCCTTTAGCACACGGGTCTCCTCGTCTTTAAAATCAGGCTGTGGAACCAGATCCAACTCAAGAACTCTGGTGGTGGTGACATCTTGGTTTTCAAATCACCAACTCTGGGGTTTCTAGGGCGCGGGGAATCTAGATTACTGCTCATTTTGGTTTTGTGCACAAGTTGCAGTTATGTTTCTTTTTCTTATTTTCATAAGTAAATCTCTCAAAGTGTGTGCTTTTTAACCAAAAACAAACAAACAAAAAAATTCTAACGGTCCCTAACTTCCAGGACTTAGGACACCCATAGAAAAGCCCCAGGATGCAGAGGTGAAGAGGTAGATCCTGGAGTCAGGCCACCCCGGCTTGGGCCCGGCCCCACTGGACCGGCTTGTGCCTGGCTTCCTGGTGAAGCAGGGAGAGGGGGTTGCTGACCATCAGGGCTGGGCGGTTATGATGGGTGGGAAGGGCCAGAACCATGCCGTGGGCAGCAACAGAGCAGGCGGGCCCAGTGAGACAGCTTGTTGTCCAGACAGACCAGAGAAAGGACCCGGTACCCAAAGCGAGGGGGTCTCTTCCATCTGGCAAAGACCAGGGCGAGGAGAGGCTCTGTGGGTGTTGCTTTGTGGAGGACAAGCCCCCGATTTCCCAGCAGACAAATGGGCTGGGGGTATTTTAAGGAGCTCTCGCTGCCTGAGAAAAGTTGTCCCTAACCGACCCCACCTTCGCCTCCATCCGTGGCTCATTCTCTCTGGTGCCCCGGCTCAGTGTCCCCCTCCAAAACCACCCCCCAGCTGCTCGAGATAGAGACAAGCCATCCCCTGCTTCTGCTCATCCAGCCTAAAAGGGGCGGGAACTTTCTAGCACCCACTTCACTAATCCAGCCTTGGCATCTCAGAAATGGAAAGGACCTTGTGGGTGATTTAATTCCATCCCTGTTTGATGCCAGCGTCCTTCCCGGAGCGCTCTCAGCGTGCCTGCACGCAGCCCAAGCTTGGAGACCGCACGAAGCAATAACTCACTGCTTCCTGGCAAAGCAATCCCGCCCCTGTCACCTCCACCTGATAGAAGTTCTCTGAGTGTCCTAAAGCAATAGCTGGCGCCAGCGAGTTCCCTCTGCATGTCCTAGCTCTGGGCCCTGAGATCATGATTTTTCAACTATGAATTTCAACCCATAAATAAGTCAGGAAATCAATTAAATAGTTCTATAGCCTTTTTTTTTTTTTTCTCAATGAAAAAGGACAGGTCAGGACAGAACACAACAGAAACGATCAAAGTGCAGGGAACACAGTCAGGGTGGCCATGCTCTGTGGAATGCGTGTGGCTGTTTTTATTTATGTGGTTCCAGGTGAGATGTAAAATGTGATTCTTTCTATTGTCCCGAAGAATGAGTGAGCTCTTACCTGATGGTCTCCATGCCATGTCTTCCTGGCTGAATAGCTCCAGCTTCGTTTTCTCCTCTGTCACCCATAGGATGTGGCTGTTGTGTACTTTCCCTTGGACTTTAATCTCCACCCTGTGAAAGTGGCTCTAGGAAGTACCCGTTGGTGACCGCAGACCCAGTGGCCACAGGCCTCTGGCTAGGCCACCAAAGGCCTGGTGTCTTCCTGAAAGTGAAGACAGCAAAAATAGAGGCGAGGAATTCTGCCTTCTCTTTAGCAGTATACTAATAGCTCCAAACAGCTGGCAAAGCCCTTTTCTGTTCTAAATCTCATTTTAGCTACGTTCTTCCCGCAAGATGGATGACAGTCTAATTAGCAGGACTGTTCTGTTTTCTGAGCCGCCCATTGCCCCATAGTATCAGGTCACGCGAACTCCCCTGAATCATGTTGTTCCCACCTGATGCTTATCTAGGGCTCTGATGGGATGGAGTGAGGGAGACTGTTACCCAGTCCTAAATTTACCCAGTTAAATTGCTTCTTGTTGGATTCAGTTGACACCTGTGACGGAATCATTTTGGATCCTGGCGACTTCATCCCTTGCGTTCATCTTCTCTCCCTCCTCTTCAACTTTTTGAGCGTCCGTTGTTATAAGAGAAAGAGCAATGGCTTTGAAAGATCTTCTAAGGCTCAAGTTCCCAGTCTCTGGCTTCATTTCAGTGTGCCCTTGGGAAAGTTATTTAATCTGTCTGTAAAATAGCACCTATCTCACAGAGTTTTATAAAAATTAACTGATCTATATACTACAGTACATGACACATCGCAGGCAGCTAATGAATAGTAGACATGAGCAAGAATAATGCTTGAACTGGTCAAGGGGGAGACAGCACTTCATCCCGCCCCTCTAGAAACTTCCACGGGCCAAGATTCCCATCGTCAGCCATTCAAGTGTCTTCGTGATTGTGGACTCAGCTCATTTCTCCTCTTTCTTATCTTCATAACATCAGGGGAAACTTCAATGCTTTGCAGAAACCCAAACATGCAGTTCAGTCCATTTCTCAAGACTACCAAGATGCTGAAGGGAAAAAGCACGGGAGGAGGCAGGTGAGTCTGTTGTGACTCCTCCCTCTCAAGGAACAATCTTGTCCTAGAGATCACCACTTCCTTTTCTAGGTGCTCAGGACTTAGCCAGCTCTTGTCCAAGACTGGCAACGTGCTTACCCACCTGTGGTTTGTAAAAGCAACTTTCTCTTGACTTCTAAAAATAAATAAGTGTGCTTGCCTGCATTTTTTCCCTTTTTCTAAGATTTTGTCTTTTCAACCAGAAACAACTGCAAATTTTCATCTGCAAGTTGCTTCAGGACCTTGCAACATCCAGCTTTTACTCCAGAGATCTGAACTCATTTAGAGCAGATACCTCAAAAGCTCATCAGCCTCCACTGACACTTAGCGATGTTCTTCTTTCTCCTTGTCGGTCGGTCTCAGAGCACTGACTTCTCTGGACCGCCTATTTTCATTGTCAACTCTGGGTCTGTTGCACCCTCCCGGATCTTCTTGCTGGAACATCCATAGTCTTTACAAGTTTTCTGCAGACCTCAGCTCACTCAGGCTCTCACCTTCCCAACGCTTGTCTTGTCATTCTTGGCTCTTGGGCTCTTTCTCAATTTTCTGCAAAAGTCTTTTTACAGCTTGAGCTCATTAAGTCCATCACAGCTCCCTGGGATTCTTTAAATACCTCCTCATGTCCTACCTCCTCAGAACCCATTGTGATTGTAGAGACTGGGTTTGTTTTTGAGAGTATCACTGTCAGGAGAAGCTGTGCTGTCATGGACACACATCACAGAAGTCCACGGACGACCTGGCTCCTCGCCCGTCTTCTTTCTTGACACTGATGGACCTTACTCATAGCTTGAGTGTATTTTTCTTCTGGTGATCAAGAGCCTTGGGATGACACACCACCTTCTTTTGGTGAGAATACCAGGTGGAAAGCAGTCATTCTCTTGCTGCTTCCTATCCCTTTGGCAGGCCAGTGTACCACCCATACAAGCTCATAGTTGTTGGGCAAGCTACGAAATAAAAGTTTGAGATACATTTATTTTTGTTTGTTTGTTTAGCTTTTCTAAAAGAACTCTTTGTGAATAACAAAGAGTTAAATCTTGCCGCATGCTGGTAATTTACCAGGCAAATTTCTAAGCACTTGAAATACAGTATTTCCTTTAATTCTCCAAGAACCCATTAGGGGCAGAATCAATGGTTATTTCCATTTTACATATGAGGAGCCTGAAGCGCAAAGAAGTGAAGAAATTGCCCCTTGATCACAGAAGATGTGAGCAGCGGAATCAGAACAGCAGCCCAGGCATGTGGGGCTGCAGCCTCATCCCTCCCTCCATAGTCTGCACGTGATCCTTGATCTGTAATTTTCTGTTGATCATTTTAAACCTGTGCGAGGACATATATTTATCCCCATTAAATATCACTTCTGCAGCTTTTACACAGGATTTTCTTCAATGGTGACTATCTATAAATTCATTAAACATGTCCTCTTTTTTCCCAGAAATTCCTGCATTCTCTATTCTCGTGTCACCATCTTGCTCTGCAATAATTTGTGAACATGTCTGAACTTCCTAGGGACCATAACGTATGCATGTCCGTGTTTGTTGAATGAATAAATAAGTGAATTCTACATATTCATTCACATTATCAACTTCAAACATGTTGCATAGATTGACTCCAAAGGGGAAAAACAGCACCTGTGTTCTTTCAAGAATGATGTTTTCTTTTCGTGGAGGGTTGATCTTTAAGGAGGCACCTGTTGGAATGTCATGAAACTCCCTCTTCTCACAGATATTCATGGTTGCCTACAAA